TAGACATTTTGAAGTAATACATGTTAAGTATATGGCATAGTATGTTACAATATCAAACCTGTGCATTATTAATAATCAAAGCTAAACACGTTCTTTTTTCTTTTTTTTTTTCATGTGTTTCAAACCTCCTGTAACAAAAAAAAATTACAGTAGTTTCGGACATACAATTTTTTAATTCGTTGTTACGACTTTTTATGGAAAATTAAAAACATTTTCCCAAGATTCATAGACTTTTTCTAAGCATACAGCTAAAAGCTTACTGGTGAATTCTTGGCACGTCATTTAATTTTTAAAAGGGTTAGTTGCAAAATTAGAAAATTCATAACGATACCTCTCACATGATAATTATTAATACTAAACGATCATTATCTTCTTTATGTCTAGAACTTCTAGCTTTGAAATAAAGTATAACTTTTACGAAGCCGATTGACTTCCATAAGAACAAGTAAGAATTTTCGATGTGTATTTTCCAGAAGAATCCGAACCTAAAACTAATTTTTTCGTAAAATTGTTCAGAAACTTGTTATTAACAATTTAAGTGCTTATAACGCGATCAAAATCAGTAAAGAGCGTGTTCAAATATAATAACTGAACAGCTTGATAAATAACCTAACTCCCCAGAAATGTGCCTAATATTCCTAAATTCTTAAAAAATATTGCTCAGAACCAGAGATATTGTAAATTAAGAGAAAAAATTTAAAGAACGACGGTTTTCATAGCCTTTTCACTCTTTTACTCAACACCTCTTTTAAGTATAAAGCTTTAACACCTTTCATTTTAAAACTCAAGATCTGAGCTTTAAAACGGGTTGTAGAAGTAGCTTTGAATGACGTTTAGAAAAATGTTTAACCATTTTAAACTAAAATTTTTTTATGTAAATGAGCTAAGTAATTTCTTTAGAAGCATTTTTACCATAGATACATGAAAAATATTACTGTAACTGTTTTCCACAATAGTAGTGCGATTGAAAACTAACATTTAGCGTTTTTGATGATGTATTTAAGCTTATTTTCCTTTAATTCTAAAGCGTCCGTATGGTGCGCACGCATTAGCTGCTTCACGCGCTCCCAGGATCGAGAAAGTGGCCAGCTGAAAATGTCTCCAGGTGTTTTTAAAAATAAAATATTGAGTTTAATGGCCAAATACGTGAGTATAAATAATGATTTTATGCTGTGATAATGAAAAAACTACTTAATATTTCAAAAAATTATCTTGCTTTTTCAATTTTTTTTCTGTAAGTATATTATTTTGTGTACTTACTTATTTTAATTAAATTGTAACACGAATTCATCTACACTCGAATGTTTATTTACTCTACAACAATTTTAAACAAACAGTTTGTTAAAAGTTTCCTAAAGTGAAAAAAAATGTACAACTGTCTGTAAGATTATCTCCTGGTAAAAAAATATATGTTTTCTACGATAATTTTCTAGTCTGTGGTATCTCGTTGTTTTTAGTCTGACTAATACGTTTATTTTCATGTTTCTCTTCAGCATCTATTAGTTCTGTCAATTTATACTTGTGAGTATAGTTATTGCAGCAATCAGTGCGTACATAGTAGTAATAAATATCTGCAAGTATATGAAGAAAAATAAGTAAGTTAAAGTTTAAATGCCAATTACGAATTGTGGAAAGTGCTTGAGGCACCTACACCTACTTAACAATCTTTTACTGAAATAAAATCATTGACTCCACATGTGGCTTTTTAATTTTTTCATCCATTGAAGATACATACAAGGAGTGAGAGAAAAAGAAAGAAAAACCATGCAAATAATGAAAAATACTAAAATCTTTTTGGAAATGAATTATTTTACAACAGTGAAATTTATTTTAAACCATCATAACTTGTGTTTAAGGCACGACCAATACCCAATTGATAAAGCCAGAGTTAAAAATATATCCATAGTTATAAGGTGTCAACTAAGTTAACTGCACAATACAATACTACAAATTAAATTATTTTATCGACAACAGTCATGAAAAAATGTAATTAAGCATAAATAATTTAGAAATCGATTTAACACCTGCACCACTTGACTTTGGGTTCACTGGCGAAATACCAAGATTCGTCACTCGTTCACAAGAGCTGCTTTACGAACCTCGTCACGACCCTTGCCGTAAGCTCGGTTAACTTCTTGTCAACTTCTCGGTTGGTAAATTACAGCCTTATCAAACTCGTGCGAAACATATATTCTTTTTTACTAGAAGATAATTTTACACATAGTAATACATTTTTTTGTATTAATCTCATTAGGAGACTTTAAACAAACCACTTTTTCAAACTGTGAAATAAATAAACATTCGTGTGTTCATGGCGCAAGAGTGTAACTCACACTGATGCACAGAGAACACTACTTGAAACACGCTCTATGAGAGTTAACAATTTTTTTAAAATTAAAATGATCCATTATATGAAGTAACATTTTTCTTTCTAACAAACATATACTGTACATTTAATTTTCAAGCAATTGGTCTCAATTTAATTAAAAAGAGAAAATTTCTTTAAATCAAAAAAATGTCATTAAATATTGTTTTGGATTCTACATTACTATTTTCAGAGATAGTAACTAATCACGTAAAACTACTACTTTTTATACATATAACTGCTATTAATTATTACATATTCAACTTTTCAATCGGTATACTTTTGTGGAGCAATACTGAATGTGCGGCTCAACAGTGCCTCTTCTCATAATCGACTAACAAACGTCGTATTTTGGTTTCTTATGAATCATTTTGTTTACGTACAAGCCACACTGCCTTAACTATAAGTAATTTGAAATATATATNACAGAGAACACTACTTGAAACACGCTCTATGAGAGTTAACAATTTTTTTAAAATTAAAATGATCCATTATATGAAGTAACATTTTTCTTTCTAACAAACATAAATATAAGAAGCTCACGTGCATTGGTCGTGCAAGTTTAATTTATTATATATTTGTATACACTATATTTAATTTATTATATATTTGTATATCTCTCTCTATATGTATATATTAGTGGGGCTTCGCCCGGATTAGCGGTTATAAACTTTATCACGACGTATATTTGCAGCTTGTTTTACATTTTACTTTTTACGTCTAATGTGAGAACTTAAACAGATGAATTTGGTAGTAATTTTTTGAATATGATGCAAAGCTTGAAATAAATTACTGTATTTTTTGTACACATATTTCAAAGAAATAATAACACGATTCAATTTTGAAAAAATAACTAAACGCCAAAAATTCGAAGAGAACAAAATCATGGCTGACCAATTCGATAGTGAATGACTTGCTAGTAGAAGTATGCAATACCTAATTCAAACCAACGGAAAATTTCAACTTTTCAGATATGATTTTGTACTTAAAGAGCTATATCATGTTAAATAATTTCTAGAATCTAACTTATTAGACAATTTAATTAAAATAAGTAAGTACACAAAATAATATGCTTAGGGAAAAAAAAATAGGAAAGCAAGATAATTTTTTGACATATTGAGTATTTTTACAATCATGACAGTATACATTTATAATTTTTCACTTATATTTTTCGCCATGAAACTCAATGCATTGAAATTTAAAAAATAGCTGAAGACAATTTCAGCTGGCCGGCCTCTGGAGCCTGTAAGCACGGGGAGCAGCTACCGCATGTACACCATACGCACACCTTAAAATTAAAGGAAAATTAGTTTAAATACATCCTTAAAGTCACAAAATGTTTGTTTTCAATTACACTTCAACTGTGAAAAACAATTATTGTGATATTTTTTGTGTATCTATGGTAAAAATGATAAAACAAAAATTACTTCACTGATTTTCATTGAAAAATGTTACTTTAAAATGATTAAAAGTTTTTTCCAACGTTATTAAGAGCTATACTACAACTCATTGCGATCGAAGCTTCCATCTTCAGCTTTAAAATGAGAGGTGTTGAAGCTTTATACCTAAAGGAGACACGAAGTAAAAAAGCGAAAAAGCTTTAAAAACCACCGTCTTCAAATTTTTTGCACTAAACATGCAATATCTCTGGTTCTAATCAACATTTTTTTTAAATTCTTTTTTGGGCACATTTTAAGGCATAAAAAAAAGATATTTAAGTATGACAAGCAAGTTCTTTAATGCAAGATTAAAAACTGTTGATCAAAATTAAGGAACAACTTTTTGGATAATACACCCTTGTTTTTAAAAAAAAAATTAAAATACACTTGATGTAAAAAGGTGCCACAATAAGCATTAGTTGGCCATATGTACATAGCACAAAACTCGTACTATTATGAAGTCAACAATTTTACAATGATCTTTCGTTATGAAATCTAAATGTCAACTAGCATTTCAACGATGATTCCTTTTACATTTGTAATTTCTCAAACTATGTGGTAATATGTAAATCAAATTTTTCAAGTCTACACAAATGCAGCTCAGATATTTATGTGGTTGACGTTTTTTTTGAAAATATATATATATAATACAAATTAATATTCTCGTTGGTACATTAATTTATATTGACTCTTAAGTAAACATATTATTCACAGTCTAGGAGCAAGTAGCTTTTTTTCTAACTAGCTGTTGTCTTTTGGAGTTTCAAGTTATTTTTGTAGTTAAGAATGACATAGAGAAGTAATTTTTAGGATCTTAAGAACAGTGTGATTAATGATAAATATTTTGATTCGTGGTTTACTTGATCCATAATTAAATAAAGTGAAAAGTGGCCAACAGTACTTTATTAAACTTTCTTACGTGAGGCAAAGTGCACGTGTCACCTGCCTTGTCCTCTGAATTTCTTCGCTGTCTACTTTCTTAGCTCGTAATTTTTTAACTTCTCGCCTACCTGCGCGTGGTATCGTTTTAAGCCTTACCTGTTGAGTTGCAATTGTGGTGGCGTGATAATAACGTCGAATGCGTTTAGCATATCGTACATGCTTTTAATTATTTTATTTATTACTGTGATCTCAGAGCAATACTTGAATAAACATTGTATTATAAACGTATTGTACTTGTTCTAATAAATACTTACTTAGACTAAGTTTTCCTCCAAAAATCGTACGATCAAAAGCGTCTTTCCATTTGAAAGGAACTTGCAGCTCATTCGAACAAATTTTTCCTTCTAAAACACAGATTTGGTCGAAGTACCTAGGATGATAAAATATGTTTCATAAAAAACAATTCATCGGGTTTTCTTTAAGAAATTAAAAATTATTTTCAAAATCAATGTTTAAAATTCTTTTAAATGACAAGAAAAATTTTAATCTAACAACTTAGGCTACTATTACGTACACTTTATCTATCGTTTGGTAAATTTAAAGCTGGTTAATTTATAGCTTCCGAGTCAAAGATGAAAATATTAGATCGATATTAATTAATACTGATTTAATTTTAAATAATCATTTCCAAATATTGTTTACGAAATAACTTTAAGTAATAATAAAAAAAATGTCTGCATATCCCCGCCAAAAGTGCTTCGTATCTGCCCTGCTCTAAAATAGATAATCGGCTCTTTCAACGAGGGTATGCAGAAAAATAGTATACGCAACACGTTCCGAGGTTAAAAAATGTCATAGATTTCAGGTTATCTGTCTTCGGCTTTACCTTGGGCGTTTATTCAAGTGAAATCTGCGACACTCTTAACCTCGCTTACTAGGTGCGTTATATACGATAAATCACAATATCTACAAATGAGTTTATAGAAATCATTACATAAGATTTATGTTTGACCATTAAATACAAGCAGTTGATGCTCACACATGCTTTTAGCATAGAACAGAAAAATTTGTTTCAATATATTTCGGTTAAGTTTACGTATGTATATACATGAGTGTGTGTATGTATGTGTGCGCGCGCACGTGTATATATTTTAGTAGGACTGGGTACTTGATTTAAAATGATTTTGTAAAATAGTTAATTTTATTCAACCGAAACTGAAATGTTAATGCCATCGGGTAACAGTAGTTAGTAAGATAATAACAAACTAGTAAGAGAACTTTCTATAAAGTATAAAAAAAACCTCAAGTCATAAATATTAATTGAGCTCTATGTTCATGTGTGCTAAGCACCAAACCCCTATTGACAGATTATGCTATAAGTACATCATTTTCTAAATAAGTTTTAAATTTTTATTTTACCAAGCCCTAAAAATAAAATGATTGAATGTTTAGAATGCATTAAATGTTAAATCTGATCTTACCAGATTTGAGAGACAACGACAATTCTTGGTAATACTCGAGAAAAGATGTACTGCAAAGGGGGGGTGGGGAGAAAAATTACATGGTTGCTTATAGAAAGGGTTACAGAATCAACTTATTCTCTATAAAAGCGGTACAGCTCAAGTAAAAAAGAGATCTGCCCTTGACTTCCCCTTTTTAAGTGGGCTACAGTGCTAGAGACCTTTCGCTTGGAATTAGCAGTCTATCCATCGTATGTCAATGAAAATTCCTTAAATTTATTTTTTGACTGAGCGAATTCCAAATTTTTTAAACCATGATTACGTGTTTTCCGTAGATTAAATTATGCTACGAAATATCCACGTGAATGCTGCCTTCTTGCATGTACAAAAATTAATAAATAATTAAAATAACGTCCAATGATGGTACTGTCAAATTATCTATTTATTAAAAAACAAAACGATGTTTCAGCTGTTTGAACAATGTCCCGGCCCTCATGAGGTACAAAAATCTGTGAGTAATAAAAAAAAATTCTTTACAATACAAATTTCAGTAAATACAATAAACGCAAATTAAGTGAAGTGTATACCTTTAACTCTTTCGAAGGGGATGTAAAATTGTAATTACACAATGCACATACACAAATGACACAGTATACGCACATAATACAATCAAATAAGAATCGCAAGCAGTTCCTTGTGAGATACACGTACACAGATCATGTTTTCCTAATACCATAAGTAAAAGGGGTCCTCAAACCATGTACATTAAGTTAGCCTCCTTACTTAGTTGACTTAACGAGATACTTGTAACAAATTTTCAATTTTTCTGTATCTTGTTATCTATAAATATTATTATTGAAATAATGTAAATTAAACATTTCGGAAAACAGGCGCTTTTTATCATTTTGTTTTGTGTCTAAAATTTTCATTTTATCAACATTGAAGTTGGGTGTAAATTCATTGTTATGTTATGATAGTACAGATGTATTCTTTTTTTTCTTTATGTCTCTTTTATGTTCTGCCATTCTTAATTTTACAGCTCTCGAAGTTTGACCCACGTAAATGCAGTTGCAATTCGCACAAAATATGTGGTAAACGACATTATTCTTATGGAGTGGCTCGGTTACATCTTTTCCAAGTGAAAAGATCGGATTTCATTTATTGTTTAAACTGTATACAAGACCAATGTGAAGCTTCTTACAAAAATATTTAATAGGACCGTGCAAGTAGGGAATATACGGTAATGATAAGATTACTTTATAATTATTATTGTTTCTATTGCAAATGTCAATCTTGTTCATGTTTTTTAAGATACTTATTTTTTTGTTTGAAAATTNGAATATACGGTAATGATAAGATTAGTTTATAATTATTATTGTTTCTATTGCAATTGTCAATCATGTTCATGTTTTTTAAGATATTTATTCTTTTGTTCAAAAATTTATCAACAAATTTTTGAGGATAGTTGTTAGCTAGTAAAAATTTATTGATTAATTTTAGATTATCGTTATGAAATTGAATGTCTGCTAATTTAATAGAAAAGTCTACTAATGTGTAAATTATACCTATTTTATGTTGGATTGGATGGTGGGAAAGAAAATTCGAGTATCGGCCTGAATGTGAGGGTTTTGGTACCAATTCGTTAGCACTGTGTTATTTTGTTGAATAGTAATTTTTAAATCTAAGAAACTAATGCTGTTGTTGCATGTCTCAACAGTGAATTGTAATTCCGGACAATAGCTATTTAAAATGTTTTTCGTATAGTTAATATATTTAGTAGGCACACATATGAGAATATCATCCGAAAACCGAACATACAGTGAAACATGAAAACATAACTTCTCTAAGCATAAAAGTTCAAGTAAACGCATTACAAGATCACACAGAACTCGACTACAGGGACTGCTCATTGGAGAGCCAAAAATTTGTTTATAAAATTTGTTGTTGAAATGGAAAAAAGTTGAATTAAAATCAAAGATACACTTGTGCAAAATTTATTGAGAGAAGCATTGATTTTACCATTCAAGAATTTCCAAAAATGTCTTAGTGATTTTATGATCAAGGCTTCACTAGTATTAGTACATAAACTAACAACATCTAGACTAATAAGAGTGTAACCAGGTGAAATGATAATATCTTTTAATTTATTTTTTAACTCATAACTATTTTTCACGTGTGATTTCACCAGCGAAATATTCTTAATCAAAAAATTAGAAAGAAATTTTGAAAAACTATAAGTGGGTGAATTCAGTGTCGAGACAATGATACGGATAGGAAAGTCTTTTTTGTGTATTTTTACTAGTTCGTAGCATTTACATAAGTTTTTTTTTTATGAATATCTTTATAAAACTTATTTAATTCATTAAAAAAAATTGTTACAAGTCTCTCGTTAAGTCAATTAAGTAAGGAGGCTAACTTGATGTACATGATTTGACGGACCCTTTCCTTTATTGTATTAGGAAAACATGATCTGTTTACGTGTGTCTCACAAGGAACTGCTTACGATTCTTATTTGATTATATAATGTGCGTATACTGTGTCATTTGTGTATGTGCAGGGTATAAAAGCAACGAAACTTGAAACTATGACAACATTACGATTTTATATCCCCTTCGTAAGAGTCAGAGGTATATTATACACTTTACTTAATTTGCGTTTATTGTATTTACTAAAATTTGTACTGTAAAGAATTTTTTTTTATTACTCATAGATTTTTGTACCCGATGAGGGCCGAGACAGTGTCCAAACGGCCGAAACGCCGTTTTGTTTTTTAATAAATACAAAATTTGACAGTACCACCATTGGACGTTATTTTAATTTTCAACCAACTGTCATTGGACGTCTTACATTATAAAAAGTAATAAAATTGAGAGAAGTATATCTGTTAATGTATTGTTACTTACTTCTACACAAAATTAGATATCTATAATGTTTTTTAGTTAAAATATATTCATAATGTATTAAATGTATTTTTTTATTTTTCTTTTTAAGTCTTGCTTGTAGTTTCAATTGAATTTTTGAACTTTAAACGGTCATAGTAGTGAGTTTCTTTGTCAAAGTTGCTGGAGTCACCACTCGTTATCGTAACTGGGTCTTACTAATATGAATAAGAAGACGAAAAAACAACAACACTCATATGGTTATCAATGCAGGTTGAAAGTTGCATTTACATAAGTAGAACCAAGTCGCAATTAATTCGTGGTGATACCGGCGCTCTTAACAAAAATATTTACATATAGAAGCGTTTTCTATACACCAATTCTACAAACCATTTTCTCATGAATTCCATTTTATGTGACTTTTCCATGAGGTTACGAGTTAAATTAGGGTTTTTTTGATAGTTAATACCTAAGAAAGAATGTTATCAAACGGTCTTTAAATTTATGTGTTACTTTGTAACATTATTAAAAACACCCTGTTGAAATTTCAGGGAAATTCTACCCAAAACGCTAGATGTAATGAACATCCTTAATTATTGCATTTCGTTATAAAGGAAAGAGGGGAATCAGCGGCACTCTAACTTTGAGTACATTTTTCAGTAAGATTTTTAACTTCAATAATACGAGTATTTGTTATAACACATACAAAAGATAAAGCATCATTAATGGTATGTACAAACAAAATCTTTCTTATCAAGTTATTTTTAAATGGTTATTCAAATAACACAAGTCACATTAATAATTAAATTGTTTCACAGTATTAAATTGTTGTAAGTTATACTGTCTTGAAATAAAATAGCTCACAGCTACTATTTTCTTTTTTGATCAATAAAGCAGCATTAACAACGACTTGGAGCGGCAAAGCTTTGGAGCTAGTTGTAGAGATCTTTCCCAAAGTCTCTTCGTATAACGTCAAAAACGTTGGTGTCTAAAGCACCTTCTTTATTTGCAGACTCAGTTGTGTTGGTGATCTAAGATGGAGAGGTTGGTTCGTGATGCTTGCCCGTTGAAAACTGTCCCATTGGCTCACA